CTCTCTCTCTCTCTCTGTGTGTGTGTGTGTGTGTGTGTGTGTGTCACTCTGGTCAAACTGAAAATAACTATAATGATAAATAAAATAAAGGGAATAATTTAACACACACACACACACACAAAAGAGGGGCGAGCAGGTGGTATAGTGGTTAAGGCGCTGGACTCCCACATGACCGACCATGGTTCAAGTCCTGGACCCGATGGCTTGAAACTTTATGCCGGGCAGTTAAACACATTATCACCAAATTCAAGAAATACTTAGAAAACAACACACGGGATGGGCCCATACAAAACAACGATTCTGCTTTCAGAAAATAAAACCCAGACCAACCGTTCTCTCTACCAGCCTCCCCTTCATGTTCGTAAAGATCCCAAACAACTGAAAAATTATTTCAAGTTTTTGCATAGTATCTCAAAAGTCGATTTCTCCTTCCATTCACTGACTATCTGGAACAGTTTTCAGGTCCTTAGATGTCATCTAAGGGCGCTCACAGCAGCTCAGGCCTCCGAAAAAAACCCAGCAGAGAAGTCCTGCCCACTGAGCTCCTGCCGTGCAGGGTCTGCCGGGAGGCAAACAGCCGCAGGTGCCTCCCAGCTAGCAGGAGCACAGTGAGGGGCACAACCAGCCTCTACTTTGCTTCTCCTGTGTTGTTTTTTCCTGGTCCAGTGATTTGCCAATAGTCAACCCTAACCATCCCCTGCCTCTGCACACACACACACCACCAGACACTGAGCTTGAAGGCAGGGTGTGTCTTTTTCTTCTTCATAAAATCAACATGGTACTTACTCAATACAAAATACCTGACCATGAGTAGATGAGGTCCAATAACTTTTTAATCTGATTTTCATTTATACTCTCAAACCTCGACAGGGCCTTTAGTGCAGATCGAGTAGTGGCATATTTACTTCTCTTGAATCCCAACTTACATTCGGTCTGCAAACATGTTTGCCTCTGTCTTTCATATTAAAAACAAAAAAAACAAAACAAAACAAAAAAACACCTCTTGACCTAAAAAAAAAAAAAAAAAAAAAACCACCTCTTGACGGTCAATTCCCTCTAGCACTCTCTTGTCTTAATTCCTTTTACAGTCAAGTTTCTTTAGGAAATAATTCATCCGAGGAGACTTTAAAAAGTTTGCAGAAAAAAAGAATTAACATATGAGTTTATTGTGGTATGAAGAACATTTCAAACTGCATACAGTTTTTTCATGACACACATTTTGCATAAACCTGGAAGACCTCTCACTACTGCTTCCCACCATTACGGTGTCTGATTAGAAACAGGAAGTATCAGAGGGTTAGGGAAACTCCCCGAATCCAAAAGGTGATGTTAAAACACATCAGAGTTGGGACCAGTAGCTGGCGTAACAGCTATGTCGCTGGACTCCCGTGTAGTAGACCGCAGTTCAAGTCCTGGACCTGGTGGCTTAAACTCACACTGGGTGCATGTGCATGCGTGCCCAAGATCCTGAGAGGAGAAGCGATTGCAGCATGGCCATCCCCCGGGGGGTGATTTCTCACTTTCTGTCTCTCTGTCTCTCTCTTTCTGGCAAGCACACACCCCCAATAGCAAAAACCTCTCAAAATAAAAAAAACACATCAGAGTTGGGGGCCGGCAGATGACATAGTGGTTATATCACTGGACTCCCACGTGGCTAACCACAGTTGGAGTCCAAGACCTGGTGGCTTGAAACTCCCACTGGGTGTGTGCCTATACATGTGTGCAGGCTCAAGATCCCAGGAGGAGAATAGATTATAGTGTGGCCATCCCCCTGGGGAGTGGGTTCTCACCTTCCCTCTTTCTGTCTCTCTCTCCCCACTACTATCACCCTCAACCCCCACCAGCCCACATGCCCTACGGGGTTTGGTTAAAAACAAACAAAAACTCTTAATAAAACTAAATAAATAAATCAGAATTGGAGGCCAGCAGTTGGTTAAGGCTCTAGACTCATACATGCCAGACCACAGTTCAAATCCCAAATCCAGTGGCTTTTGAAAGCCACACTGCATGACTGCATGCATGTGTGCCCCAAATCCCAGGAACAGAATGGGGGAGAAGGGATAGCAGTGTGGCTGTCCCCACCCCCCATGGTGATTTCTTACTTTCCCTCTTATCGTCTCTGTCTCCCTCCAGGGAGCACATATGCCCTAAGGCAAAAATCTCTTTTTTCTTTCTTTTATTTTTTATTTTTGAGAGGTTTTCGCTATAGGGAGCGTGTGCTCGCCAGACAGACAGAGAGAGACATAGAGACAGAAAGCAAGAAATCACCCCCCAGGGGGGATGGTCACGCCGCAATCCCTTCTCCTCCATTCTCCTCTCGGGATCTTGGGCATGCACGCACACGCGCCCGGTGTTGAGTTCTAAGCCACTGGGTCCGGGACGCGAACCTCAGTCGACTACATGGGAGTCCAGTGACATAGCCATTACACTAACTGCTGGTTCCCCCAAGGCAAAAATCTTAAAAGGGGGAAAAATTGAGAATAATCAGGCCACAAAGGCAGGAGATTGTGAACTACTGACATGGAAGCCAGGAACATGCTAGAAAAGGGAAGAAAGTTATGGGGAAAAAAATGTCCAAAGGCCTGGGCCGATTCGAGAAAATTTTTTTCTTTTCTTTGAAGAGGTTTTTAGTGTAAGGCACATGCGCTCGCCAGGAAGACAGAGACAAACAGAGACAGAGAAATCACCCCCAGGGGGGATGGCCATACTGCAATCCCTTTTCCGCCATTCTCCTCTCAGGATCTTGGGCATGCACGCACACGCGTCTGGCATTGAGTTTAAGCCACCAGGTCTGGGACTTGAACTGCGTTCAGCTACATGGCAGCCCAGCAACATAGCCATTACACCAACTGCTGGTCCCCTGACATGAGTTTAAACCGCCACATCTGGGGAGTCCAGCAATGTAACCATTACGCCATCTGCTGGCCCCCAAAAATGGTTTTGATTATTCCGAAAATTTTCACTGTTTCATATTTGAAAAATAAAAACACGGGTCTGCTCTGTGGTCTGGTGGTTAAGGGGGCAGGAGCCTACATAGCCAATAGTGCAGTTGAGAGTTAGAGTTCTGGCCCTAGGGCTTGAAACACACACTTGTGTGCCCAAAATCCTAAAGGAGGGAGATGGAGGTGAAGGGACTGCAGGGTGACCACGGCCCACTAGGGAGTGTTTTCTCCTTCTCTCACCCTCCATCTTTTTCTGGAGAGCACCAGGCCTCCTTGGCAATTTGAAATAAAAAAGAAACAACAAAAAAAAAAATAGTACTCTAAATCAAATTCAAAACCGTATGTCTTTCCCATTACAAAGTACAGTATTAATATATACATTCTCCTGGCTCTGCATACACACACTTGTACTGCTTCAAACCACAGTATCCCAGAAAAGTACCTTTAGAGAGTGCGAGAGAATGATAATCTCCACATGTAATCTGAATTATAGTTTTTTCTTGTAAAACGCTTTGAAACCTGATGAAAGAAAACAGTCTGTCAGTAACCACAATAACGTCACAACACAGACGTCAGAACTATTAACTGCATTTAACCAGAAATCAAGTTCAAAAATAACTTTAAATTTACTGCTTCATAGTCATTACGTCGAAAAGGGTTTTTTGAAAACACGACATATGTTTCAGTGATTTAAGAAAAATGTGCATTAAATAACTGTAGTAAGTTTATTCTAAAATACGCTTCTGCATACAAGTTTGTGATGCAGCAATGAACGATAAAAATAAGCTGTAATTTGTGACTGACTAGAAAAAAGTCTCACGAATCATTCTATAATTTTTTTCTCCCTAGATTGAAAATTTTTTCTTTCTGGAAATGTAACTTAGAGGATCACTGTGAGGATCAACTGAGTTCAAGACTGTGAAAGTTCAATTTGGAGCTAGGCAGACCCATCAATGGTTTCCTTAAAGGAAATGCCCAAACAATAACACTGATACCTGCCCCATCCCGCCCCCACCCCCCACATACTGGGTTCCAACCCGGGACTTCAAAAAGTTCATGGAAGGAGGAATTAAAGTACAAGCAATTATTTTGGTGCAAAAAAAAAGTGAATTCGGAATCAGCAGATAACATAATGGCTAGACTCCCATGTAGTCGACTATGACTCAAGACCCAGGCCCTGCGGCTTAAAACGTGCGAGGGTGTGTGTGTGTGTGTGTGTGTGTGTGTGTGTGTGTCTCCAAGATCCCAAGGGGAGAATGGAGGAGGAGGGAGTGCAGCGTGGCCATCTCCCCTGGGGAGGGAGTTCTTGGTTTCCATCTCTGTCTCTCTGGCAAGTGCACATACCCTATGGCAAAAATCTTCCTAAAATATTTTTGAAATTCATGCGTAGCTTTTGTGTCATGCTTTTTCCATGAACTTTCTGAAGATTCCACAGACTGCTGGAATTCACTGGTCATTTCAGAATTCCACATTTACTTAAGATGCTACTATATGGAACAGAAGACAAGCATCATACATTTTTCCAAAACAATTATGATTGCCCTTTGAATAAAATGAACTTTTAATGAAAGAAAGGAAGAGTTCCCTACCTGGCATGTTCTAGGCTATAGCTGTACTCAAACGGCTTCCCTTCTGAGGACAGAATCAACATGTGTTCTACTCCTTGGTCCATAGAATGGATCTTCATTTTATTTCCTAACTTAATGTACTCTGCAGAGAAAATCCAACCAGGAACTACCATCATTCTGATTATGAGCCACTATTATGATTATCGACGTCATTATCATACACATAGCACATCTGAGAAAGTTTCAACTACACAACCTGTGATTTAACGTGAACTTCAAGTATACAAAGCAAGTTAGGAATGATTGTCTTGACAATGAGTTTTTTCTTAATTTAGAAAACCAGTGATTTGGGACCATAGATGGCATAATGAAATGCTGCTGGACTCCCATGTAGTCGGCCGCAGTTCAAGCCCCGGACCCACCCGCTTAAAACTCACGCCAGGCACCTGTGCATGCACACATGCCCAAAATCCCAAGAGGAGAATGGAGGAGAAAGGATTGCGGTGTGACCATCCCCCTAAGGGGTGATTTCTCGCTTTCTGTCTTTCTCTGTTTCTCCCACAAGCACACATGCCCTAATAGCAAAAATCTCTCTCAAGGGGCTAGGCACTGGGTTCCCACATGGTCGACCGTGGTTCGAGTCCTGGACCTAGTGGCTTTTGCTTTCTCACTTTCCCTCTCTCTCTCTCTCTCTGGCCAAATTAAAATGAACAAATAAATAAAGTTAAAATAATTCTTAAAAAAAAATCTCTCTCAAAAGAAGAAAATAGAAAAGCAGTGATTTATACTTCCCTTTCAATAGAATAGGTCCTTAAAATAGCCAATGAATATCGGCTTTCAGATTCTTATTTAGTAAGCTGAGATTGAGAAATTATTATAGATTTGGAAGTAACCGAAATGAAAAAGATCTATGAGAAAATGTAACTTAATTTTAGAACAACATACCTCATTCCTGGAACAAAAATACTGTGTAAAAACAAAACAATAATAATAAACGCCTCCAGATCGCTCCCGATAGACGCCAATGCCTACATTCTAAAAATTAAAGAAGGACTGCTTTTGATGGATTGTCTTTTAAAAGAATTATCTAAATTTATTTATTTATTATTTTAATTCACCACAGAGAAGCAGAAAGAAAGACAGAGGGAAAGTGAGAAAGCAAGCTGAACAAGTCCAGGACCCGAATCATAGTCAACCAAGTGGGAGTCCGGCGCATAACCACTATATACCACCTACCAGCTCCTTGAGGGACTATTTTTAAAGGTGATTAGGTTTAAAGGGTTTTTACTGGTATTAGTAATACTTGGTGCTTTCTAAAAGTTAAGCAATTTGCCATTGTCCACTAGTTACTACCTATTCCTATCTCCTTTCATCTGTTCACAAAAATTAAAGTTCGTTCATTTTAGAACCCTGTTTCACCCTTCAGTGCTAATGAAACAATCTATTCATGCAAAATCTCAAAGCACAGACCTTATTACAAAGGCAGGGGAAACCGAAACAGTCTGGTAGTACGTGGTTCAAATTATCTTTTTTTTTCCTTCTTTAAAGAGACTTAACATATCAAATAGTTGAGAAAGGAAATTATTCAAGCAACAGTATTGGGACATCCAAATAGCCATTTGGAAATATAAATAAATCTAGATCACCACCCCACCACCTCACTCCTTAAATCAACATAAGTTCCAGGAGTACCCCAAAAAGTTAAGTTTAGGAATAAAATCTTAACATTACTATAAAGCTAATAAATTTTCCATCTTTGGGCTGTGGGTAGCTTTCCAACCTACTACAAAACCCATAAGCCTCCTTCTAAGAACAAATTAACAGACTATTAAAACGTTAAAATCGTAAGCACAGCAAAAACCGTGCAGAGTGGGGGAAATATTACACCTATAACGTGCAAAAGGTTACCCCTATGCAATATTCACATCTCTCTCTCAAATAAGATTCACAAGACCATTTGTTTAAAGCCAGGCAAAGACATGAACAGGCAATTTACTGGAAAATGCGAATGTCCAAAAGCAAACTGAGAAGATGCTCGACTTCACGCGAGTTAAACGCAAACAAATAGCAAGAACTCATTTTCCCCACTTCACAGACGGGCAAGGCTTTCACGATTCAGTGTGGCGCTTTCCTACGGTAAGCGTAGGAACGCCGGAGCCACAGTACGAGACTAGTATTTTTGGTGGCTGGGATCTGGGAAAAGTGCAACCGGACAGGGTGACTAATTCCTCTAAAGGCTCACAAAATTTTGCAAACAAATTGTACAAAGTGTGTGTATGGGGGCAGGGGGCGGGGGAGGACGGGACCTGCCGCCGCCACCGTGGGAACTCCCGCCCCGCAGGGCCCGGGCTGGGCGCGCTGCACGGAGAACCGGGACGCACTGCGAAGGGAAGGACCGCACAACTCGGGCCACTGCAGAGACGCGTCGTACGGGCTGTGCGGGCGCGGTCCCCGCCGCCCACCTCCACACCCGGCC